TTCATACAGTATTTATATAAATTTCCAAACAGAATACTACGCTGTATGAATAATCTTTGTAACTTCCAAATATTTATAGTTCTAAATCTGACCCTTTGTATGACTACAGAAATTGCAGGAAATAAACCTTCCCTGGTGTATTCACAGGAAGCTGAGTTATCTGACTTTTAAGCCAAATTCACAACATACTTCAAAAGCAACTGCCACACAGAAGACACTGTTTATGTTACATCTCTGCCATATGAAGTAAAGTGCTGTGCATTTTCCTGAGCAAATGTATCAACACACACAAAAAAAGATGATGTTACTTTTCTTCTTTTAAATCTTTTGAGAATCCATAGACAGCTGACAGTCTGACACATAAAACTTGAAACTAAGTATTTCATCAGTTAAAAACCTGCAAAATTACACACATGTTATCCCAACTTGTATTTCAGACTTGGTTCCAAAAATTCTTCATGTATAATTTCTAGATCAGACTGTCCCCTATGCAGAAATCGGACACAAGGACGTCTGTAAGCTCTAAAATTCCTCAGTATCCACAAAGTTTAAGAAACGTTTCTTAGCTTCCTTAGTTTATGTCCAGCTATACTATGAGCTGTCTGCGTATAGGTCCCAAGTTCCCTAAAACTAAAGCATCCTCATATAGCTAAAATGGTGAGAGACTGTTAAAGAATTATCTGTTTGGGTCTGACCACCTCCTTTCATCCTAGCACTTGTTTAGTTATGAAATTAACTACTTCAGCTGGAAGGGATACAGCATAGCAGAGAAATGCCTCAATCGATGCTTACTGAAAAGCTCACCAGGCAAGCGAACTATGCTTGACAAATACTTGAATCCTCTCCAAATGATTGCCATGCTTTTCTTTTGAAAAGATTCCTCATGGAGCAAGTCGTAAATGGAAATACCACAGGATCATGGGAGAATCTTCATATGTGTTCTTCACTGCTTCACACACACTTTCAAAAGCCTACTGCATTTAGAGGGCTTACATTTCTTGATATTTTAACCCTTTAAAAATTATAAATGGCAGATATTAACATACTAAACCAGTTTGGGGTTTTGTGGACAGAGGATTGTTATGTGTCAGTTGTAATAACTCTTGTTGGCTACTTAGAGGCCTTTCCTGGGAGGAAAGCTAAAAATTATGAATAGCATGAGCTAAGCTTTATTTCTTATTGATTACTCTTTTTTCATTAGTTCAAGGTAAGAACATAATTTTGCAACCATTACATTAACCAAGTAATTTTTCAGATTTTAAAATTTTACTTCTACATTTTTTTCACTGGGCTACAAAAAATTTTCTGATACTGCTAGTTACTCATTTGGGCTTTCTGTGAATTAGTTGTGACCATCTGGCATACAGTTGCTACTGGTGCAGACGAAAATACCAATGTGCAGCTCCCACTCTACAGCTGCTTGGAAGTGTCTGCTCATTGACTCATTACTTACAGTAGACAATTTCTCAAAAAGCCTGATAGCTGGGATATTTATACCAGGATAGAAGCATTGCATGTGGGAAAGCAACAGGACTCCAAATGTTGTGCAGCAGAAGATGTGAGGACAAAGAATTACTCACCTCCCTTTCTTCTTGTCACTGAGTTGATTAGTAGAGCTGCTCACAGCAACCATTCACACACATTGGAGGTAGCCCCCACTTCTCCTCCCACCAAGCACTAACCTTGTTGTTACAGCACCCCTGCCCTCTTGCCAAGGAACTCCCAGCAAACGTAGGCTGGACTGCAGATGAGAGGAAGGGAAGCAAAGATATACAGAACAAAGAAGATGAAAAGAACAAGTGGAGTAAAAAGGCAGAAATTTGGTGTGGCAACTATATTTCCACATGTGACTCCAATTGCCTGTCTACCCAAAGTGAGGAAGTTGTGATGACAACTGAAAATGTGACTGTCTTGTTTTTTCCCCTCACCCCAGGCTCTGCACTGCCCAAAGAAAGGGATGCACCCTACTGCCTCTTCAGAAGAGCAAGGAGCTAGCTCACTGCCCAGGCTCATAGCACCCAACAGGCTTCCCATGGGCTCCTGAGGCAACTGTTGGGGCCCATGGGCCAGGCAGCAGACGTGGAGAGCTGCTGGATGGCAAGGCCAGGCTGCAAGAAAGCATCCTGCCTGTGTGCAAAGAGTCACTACGGTTGCATTCACACCATTTTGTTTCAAATGTCACCCTCAGCAGTTCTGTGTGTCCTTAATTTCAGAAGTGGCCTTACACCATTTTATGTTCTGATAACCCCAACTGTAGGCACTGCAAAGCCTTTCTCTGTCACTGCTTTGGTGCTCTTAGAGAAAGGTGGTGCAAGCCATTGGGTGACTTGGAGTCCCATCACAGTCAAAGTCTACTTGCACTTTGATTTCATTTCTGAAAAACTGTTAATGCCAGTACAGCAAAGCCTACATAAAGCTTCTTTCAGAGGCCCCCTGCCACCACCTGCAAAAAAAAAGGGGGGTTATACATCAAAGACTCTTTGTTTCCATCAATTAAATAGATTTCCCAGCTGGAACTCCCAAGTTAACCATTAGTCTTACGAGGAAAGAAAAAGGTGGTGGAATACACAAGCCTGCTTGTTCCAGACAAATGTAGCTAGGAACATTTGCACTAGAAACATTTACCACAACAGCAAAGAGTTGGACTGAATAAAAGGTGGTGGCTTCTTTATAATCACTTCCTGACACAGAGTTCTTTTACTGGGTTTTTGTGGCAAGGTTTTGGTAGTGGGTGGGCTACAGGGGTGGCTTCGGTGAGCAGCTGGTAGAAGCTTCCCCCACGTCCAACAGATCCAATGCAAGCCGGATCCAAGATGGACCTGCCGCTGGCCAAGGTCAAGCCCATCAGTGACGGTGGTAGCACCTCTGTGATGACATAGTTAAGAAGGGGAAAAAGTTGCTTTGCAACTGCAACTGCAGCTGAAGAGAGGAGTGAGAATATTTGAGAGAAACAACTCTGCAGTCACCAAGGTCAGTGCAGAAGGGCGGGGAGGAGATGCTCCAAGTGCCAGAGCAGAGATTGCCCTGCAGCCCGTGGTGCAGACCATGGTGAGGCAGCTGGGCCCCTGCAGCCATGGAGGGTAACAGTAGAGCAAACATACATCTGCAGCCCAGGGACGATCCCCTGCCCAAAGGGTGGCTGTGACCCCATGGGAAACCCATACTGGATCAGGCTCCTGGCAGGAAGTGTGGACCCGCACAGAGAGGAGCACACGATGGAGCAGTTTGTGAAGAACTGGAGCCTGTGGAAGGACTTACATTGGAGAAGTTCATAGAGGACTACCTCCATGGGAAGGTCCCCACACTGGAGCAGGGGAAGATTGTGAGGAGTCCTCCCCCTGAGGAGGAAGGAGCAGCAGAAACAATGTGTGATGAACTGACTGTAACCCCCATTCCCGCTCGCCCCCCCCCGCCACTTGCAGGGAGGAGGTAGAGAAATTGGGAGTGAAGTTGAGCCTGGGAAGAAGAGAGGGGTGAGGGGAAGGTGTTTTAAGATTTGGGTTTTATTTCTCATTGTCTGGTTTGATATTAGTAATAAATTAAACTAATTTCCCCAAGTTCAGTCTTGTTTTGCCCATGACGGTAATTGGTGGGTGATTCCTCCCTGTCCTTATCTTGACCCACAAGCCTCTCGTCCTATTTTTTCTCTCCCCCATCCAGCTGAGGAGGGGGAGCGATAGAGCGGCTTGGGTAGGCACCCAGCATCCAGACAGGGTTAACCCACCACATTAAAATGAAAAAGCAATCTGCTCCCGAACACCCTGGTCAAAACTTGAAAAAATAAGCAGATTTATCTATAAAACTCCCAATGCAATTAATGGAGGTTGTGTACCTAAATGCCTTTACAGCATTTAGAACCTCAGCCTATGACTACTGCTTGATCCTATGCTTGAAATGTTTAGGTCAGGAAAAAAAAAAGTAAAGTTTGGGTGGCTGTTATTTTCTTGTTCTTGAGGCAGGACAAACAATCCAAAAATAAAGACTGTCAAAGTTACTCTCACTATGTAAATTAATTTTATTCAAAACAGATTAAAAAAAACCTAACAAAGCTTGCCTAACTACATGAGGTAGTACATGTAGCAAAACAGAAGGCAGAATATAGTATTCTGAAATATGAAGAATATGAATAAGTTTACAAGTTGGAAGGAAATAAATTCAACAACAGAAACAAAAAATACCAAATATAAAGTTTAACAGCTTTTCAGTCTTAAAGCACCACTACACTTTTCATAGAAAGAAACATAGTATCACCACTACATATCCTTCATATACCATAATATGGTAAAATTAATGCACAAGGCTGTTCACCATAAACGAATTTTTTAAAATGGTGAAGCAACAAATGACATAATTGTCACTGGGCTCCGTACCACTATACTTCCTGGCCTGCAGGAGTATTTGCCAGGTCATGAAGAGCAAGGTTAGCCTTTGTTACTATTTTCTTTAAGTTTTTCTTGAACATATACTCTCATATTAATGTATAGTATACGGATACGATGCACAGCTTAAGGCCTCAAGCTTGCAGATTTTTTATGTATGTGTACAATTCTACGTTTTTGCCGAAATCCAATTTAGGTAAATTGAAGGAGTCACATAGCAAAAATAAATCACGAATATGTGGCAGAACCGCATTGCAAAACTGATGGCTTATTCCTTAATTTCAGATTACTCCATTTCTCAATATGAAAATTTTCAACTTCAAAGTTATATATGTCTATCTCTCACTCACCCATCCCAAGATAGCTGAACATCTGTGAAGGACTGGGCCATAATGAATTGGTTATCTGAACTAAAGAGCTTAGCAGCATCCAATAAACATTTTATTTATTACCATATTTAAGAAAAAATAAACATGAATGGCCCAGTCTCTTAAACATATTTCTTTAAAGGAAAACATGCTAATATGACCCAAAATTTCCCTATATTTTATATTTTCCATTTTACTTCAAAATAGTTATTTGTACTTATTATTAGTATGAAATTGAAAACAGTCCAGCTCTTCATTTATGCTTGCATGACCAATGCTACTGTAAATCATCAAAACATTGTATTTACTTTAAGGCATGATTTATCATGTTGAATTATTGGGATGGCTTCTTTGTGTACTTTCTGTACATTGGAAATAAAAACTCAGGCCTCCCTATGGTATAGTTTTAAGGTTACTGTTAGTGGCATATGTAAAGCACCATACAATAATATATTCAGATGAAGAAAACAAAGAACTTTGAATTAACTGTATTCGAGTAACTGCTAAGAAAATATAGCAATATTTAACACAGGATTCAAAATACTGTTATATATCATTATAGATTTTCAAATGAATTCTTCTCCCATGTTTCCTTTTAGAGATTTTTTTCATTAAGATATATATGTAAAATAAACTTTTTGGTGGAAAGCAGTATACATCTTCTGTACAATAATGTTACAGCTTTATACAAATTTTAGGAATTATAAGAAATGGCCTTTATTATTCTTTTCCAAGTGCTCTGGTTTCACTTGCCTGTTTCACATTTTACTTGCTAGACTCAAACAACAGCAAATACTCTGAATGCCTTGCTTCCTGGAGGATTCTGTAAACTGAAACACAAAAACATTCCTGATGTTACTTTTAAGACTGCAGCACTCCATTGACAACTTTTTTGAATTGTTAAATACAGTTCTAGGGTCCTGTGGCTCTTCCTCTGATTACATATATCTTTAACTATCTAAGACTTTTTTAAAGCTGTTACAAATAAAAATTGCATGAATTTCAGATTAAGTTTTCTTCCAAGCAGCTTATTAGGAACAAATCATAACACAAAAAAATTCAAGTAATCCTTTGCGATCAGGGATTCTGGTTTAAAGAATAAAGTTCTATCGAAATAAATTACTAAAAAAGTCTCTAGGAAACAGAGAAAACATGCATCTTATAATCACTACTCTAATAATTATATTCAGATAGAACTTGCAGACCTAGGAGATCACTTGTTTGTTAGTCGCTTATATGCTGAAGAATACATTTCTAAAGAGAATTAATATTTTACAAAAACAAAGGAAATGCCTTCTGAATGGATAAATATCTGGTTTCAAAAGAAATTAAACAAAAATACCCAACTGCAATTAATTTTTGTTAGAATAAATATTTTTGTCTTATAAACTGAGCTAGCTTGTCATATTTAATGGTCCCATTTGTTTTCTCTTTTGCAAGCCCTGTCTGAGGCATATCTGGGAAGGAAAGGGAAATGGAGGTGAAAGTAAGGAAGGGCATAATGAAACAAGTTGCCTGCAACAGCATTACAATCCATTTTCTTCTGCTTCACAGAAAACTTGCATGGGACTCTTTTCCATACTGCTGACCTTCCAAACTTTACCAAGACAGTAAAGTACAAACGATGATTCAATTTGCAACACTTTCCCTGCTACATCTCTACTCAATGAGGAGATTTAGATGGAGAACAGAACTGACAATAAGGAGCACTCTTTCTGAGGGAACCGGATGGTCATGTGGAAAGACCAGAGAATATGTAAATTAAGTCATCCACTAAGCAAAGAAAATATGTATTTTACAACTTTCCAGGTCAGTTGAAAGATTTGAGGGAAAGGGGCAAGCATTCCCCCACCCCCAATTAAAAAAAAAAGAAAAAAAATAACTTTTCCCGCTTCCAAGTTCTCTACAGAAACTTTTGGAGGTTTTTTACCCCACAAATTTCCTGGAAGCCTGTAATTATAGAGGTGACGATCATTCTTAGCTTTACAAGACTGAAACAGAGGTACAAGATTTTTTTTAAAGTAATTTCTCTTTCTTCCTTTAGAACCTGCAGAACTCTTTCAGGGATTAAATTTAATCTGCATCATGCAATGATCCCTTATCATCACAGAACACATGAATATACTGAATACAACAAAATGAACTCTGACAGCATCTCCATATCTTTCAGAAAAACAGGTAAGACAGTTAAACCATTAAAGAAAAGAATTTAAAAAATATGTTTTAGTGACTGTGAATTTTAATGTTTGAAAAACCATTCATGATCCAGGCTCACTGATTCAATACCATGTAAATCAGTAATGAACATTTCCTCACGAACCAATGAACTTGCATCAGCTACTAGTACCCATCTACTGCAGATCCTCTAACTTGGACAGGAAAAATCACTAATGTTAATTTTAAAAAAATCTCAAAGAAAACAAAGGCAATTTTCTTATCAAATATTCTGTTAGTTGCAACAGGACCAGGAAAGTAAACAACAGGGTTATTTTATTTCATAAGCAGCTTTTTAGAGTAATGATTTACAAGCTTAGAGGAGGCAGGCAGCTCTGGTACCACAGCTTCTCCAAAGTCACCACAGCTGTTACACAAGCTCTGCAAGTCACCCATGCTGGCCTATTTGTTTGGTTTGTAGCACTGCCCCAGGTACAAACAGACACAATACAAGACTTTGTAAATCTTATCGAGGTGAAAGGTAAAGTGTAATCTTTGAAACTGGGCTCTGTACCTTTCTGAGTATATCCCATTTTGAAAGGAAGCAATGTACACGTTTCTTTTGTCTACTGGCATAACATCAACATAACCGCCCTGGTTGCGGACTACACCAGCATGTACTGCTGCCCGGCAGATACTGGATATCTAAGAGAGAACGAGGAGAAGATTAATTTTCATTCATCCTTTTATTTCAAATTTTTTTAGAAGAAAACTAAGACATTTAAACCAAGTTCTAGGAAATATAAAATAATTATATTTATTGCATTACTAATTTTATTAATATTACAGTATTTAAATACATTTCATAGTGATTAGACCAGTTTATAGGAATATAGACACTGCCTCTTCAAAGATCTCCTGCAGCATGACCCCGAATCATTTATTTCAGGCTATTTCAGTTCAAAGATCAGGATCATGTTTGAATTCTTGAGCTTTTCAAAATGAAAGTCTCTGTTAGCCTTCACTTCAACAGTAGAGAGATAGTAAAACTCAAATCTTAGTCAATTATTACAGATAAGGAGATTTACTTTAATTTCCAGCCAGAGCCAAACAAGTGAACTGTAGAACTGCAAATGCATGCTGCAGTCGTATGTTTCTAGGAGGATGTCCTACCCCAAAGGTGAGGGATAGACTGCAATAATTCAATTTCTAGGTGCAAAACCTCAAGCAGCAGTGAAGTGATGCATATTCAAAGGGAACATCACAATTTCTTATCCAGGCATGGACAAATACTAAAAGCTAACTGGGTCAAAGGTATAATGTGAGCATCAAACAGAAGATAAAGATTTAACATCATTCCTTAGCTATGACAGTTGATGAATGGAAGACTAGTGGCTTTAGCTCCTCTACTTTGAGTGAGGTAATAGAGTCAGGAGCTGAAGACTCCCCAGTTGCTTCAAAAGAAGAATTTTTAAATCAGGGTCTAATTCCATAGATTTTACACAGGCAAAATTACGCAGCACTGTTGGGCCCCAGGCTTTAAGAACAAAAATCCAGGTTGATGCAAGCCCAGACCCACCATCAGTGAAGGAAGAGTTGGTATGTGAATTATTACAGGAGCTTGACCCCTACAAAGTGATGGGCCCTGCTGTTATCCACCCAAGGGTGTTAGGAGAGCTGTCTGATCTCACTGCAAGGCTGTTCTCCTTAATCTTTGAGAACTTGTGGAGATCAGGAGATGTCCCAGAAAACAAGAAGGTCTTAAAGGAGGATCCAGGAAACTATAGACTCATCAGTGCTTGAGAGGTCTGGAGAAGGGCCACCAAGGTGATCAAAGGACTAGGAAGCCTATCATATGAGGAAAGGCTGAGAGAACTGGGTTTGTTCAGCCTTGAGAAAAGAAGGCTTAAGGGAGACTTTATCACCATGTTCCAGTATTTAAAGGGTGGCTACAAAGAAGATGGAGATTCCTTTTTTACAAGGAGTCACAGGGAAAAGATGAGGTGTAATGGGTACAACTTACTTCTGGGGAGATTCCAATTGGACACAAGAGGAAAATTTTTCACAAGGAAAACAATCAGCTATTGGAATAATCTCCCCAGGGAAGTGGTGGATTATCCAACATTGGACATTTTTAAGATTTGGCTGGACAGGATGCTGGGCCATCTTGTCTAGAATGTGCTTTTGCCAAGAAAGGTTGTACCAAATGATCCTTGAAGTCTCTTCCAACCTGGTGTTCTATGATTCTATGGAAATTCTTTATGAAATTAACAGAAGTTTAATCTGAGTGAAACCTACATTCTCTAGCCACTAATTTCTCTCATGAAAATATGTAGCAAAAATAATATTGACAGAATTTCTTATCCACCGAACAGTCCACCGATCAAATCCATGTCCCTTCAGTTTAGAGAGAAGGATGTGTGGGGGACTGTGTCAAAGGCCTTGGAGAAGTCCAGATAGATGACATCCGTGGGTATTCCCTTGTCCACTGATCTGGTCACTCCCTCGTAGAAAGCCACTAAGTTGGTGAGGCAGGACTTGCCCCTGGTGAAGCCATGCTGGCTGTCTCAAGTTACCTCCCTGTTCTCCAGGTGCCTCAGCAAGGCTTCCAGGAGGACCTGTTCCATGATCTTCCCAGGAACGGAGGTGAGGCTGACAGGCCAGTAGTTCCCAGGGTCCTCCTTTCTACCCTTTTTAAAAATGGGTGTGATGTTAGCCTTTTTCCAGTCACCAGGGGCTTCACATGACTGCCATGACTTTTCAAATATCATGAAGAGTGGCTTGGCAACTACATCATCCAGTTCCCTCAGGACTCTCAGATGCATCTCATCTGGTCCCACGGACTTATGTACATCCAGGTTCCTCAGCTGGTCATGAACATAATCTTGTACAGTGGGAAGGGCTTTGCTCTCCCAGTCTGTGTCTTCCAGCCCATCCCCTTGAGAGGTGTAGGAAGAGAGGTTGCTAGTGAAGACTGAGGCAAAAAAGTTGTTAAGTACTTCAGCCTTCTCCTCATCTGTTGTTGCCAGCTTGGCAGCCTCGCTCATCAGAGCAGGTACACTCTCTCTGACCTTTCTTTTCTGATTTACGTGTAGAAGCCTTTCTTGTTATTCTTAGCATCCCTCGCCAAGTTCAGCTCCAGCTGTGCCTTGGCCTTCCTGACCCCAACCCTACACAACCAGGCAGTGTCCCTATACTCTTTCCAGGACACCTGACCTTGTTTCCACTGCTTATGCATTTTGTTTTTGCCCTTTAGTTTGAGCCACAGGTCATGACTCAGCCACGCTGGTCTCTTTCCTATCTTATTGGTTTAAACTTGCAATCCTCTACTACTCCTTCAGCACTTTTAAAAATTAATTGCCAGAAGAACAAAACTTCTTAGAGACTCCGGAAGGTAGGTTCCAATCTTCAATACACAGCACAGCAAAGTGTAGTTTCAGTTACAGTGAATCTCCACTTAAAGTCAAGTTGTTTTGTGGAAGAATTCTTCACTGCAATAAATCTCTCCCCAACCATCCTTAAAAACTTAGCCAATATAAATATCAATAGCTGGTCACAGAGACCACTATTTAAACAAGAACTGCATTTCTTCCAGTTAGAAGTGGAATCATTTATATCTGTTACCATAGCTATTCAGTAATCTCAATGCTATATAACAACAGGAATTTAAAATAGCAATGATTTTCCTACTCACATTCCAAGCACAGAACTTGCCAGTTTCACTGTTAGATAGTTTGTCTTTTAATGTTACAATATTTCTAGGAGTAAAGATTTGAAATTGTTTACGCAAAGAATCTTTAGAGTTTTTCTCTTCACACTGCTGGCTGCAGTTTTCGAACATTCCAGAAGGGATGCCACTTATGATCCTCTGTACTTTTTCTCCTTCTCACAAGGCTGCAAGACTTTTGTTATATCCTGAACAACAGTAGCTGCCTTATTTTTAGTATTATGGCATCCTTTATGTACTCATACTATGTGAGTAACTAAAGATCAGACTGATCATGTGCCATTTCAAATACATGGGGGGGGAAATGGCCTGTGCAATACAGAGTTACAGTCTAAAGAAACAAAAGATGAGGTTTACAAGTAACTACAGTGAAGAACTAGAACACTATTAATTACTAGTACTATAATATAGCAGCAACTTTGTTTTCAGTTCACATCGGAGATAGAAAAAAAAGCTAGAGGTACAATTGGGGAAAAGATCAAACTTTGTCACCTCTGTAGCAGTAACCAAAAGGCTACAGTTTGTGTACATCATTAGACAGGTAGATACCTTCATAATTACATTAGAGGGTAGATAAGATACTGGCTGTTCCAATGTTATTTGGAAGCTTCTAGTCAAGTAAAAATAAAGTCAAGGGATGGAGATTTTCACAGAAGAGTTTGACTACTTGTTGGAAACTATTTTGAGTAAAGGATGGGGTCATTGTTAGGGTTGGTACCACAATTGGTTACTGGATCAATGAAGTACAGCTCGGCAAATGCACATTTTAAAGTTAAAGGCAAGATGCTTATATGAGATATGTGAAAAAGGAGAGGTCAGAAGAATTGGGTTGATGAGGCCAACTCAGAGGCTATTTTCAGATGAAAAATAAACTGATATTCTGATGATACTGTCCAGATGTGCATACGTCTTGAATGTATGAACAATTAAGTGTGTATCAATTCGTTAAGAACTAGCTTGTAAGAACAGATATTAATAAATGCAGATAGTTTTATCAATATATACAGAATATAATTTTTTTGAGAAAGCATTATGTGTTTTGAGCTTTCAGTAGCTTCTCATTGGTTTGGCAATCTTCATCTAAATGGAATCAGATTCCAGTACTGATGTCGTAATATTTCCTATACTTAATAATATTATCTCATCATGATCACACTTCCTTGAACTGTTAAGGTGAACTTCTTGTTTAATTAAGCAGAACAGGATTTCACACTTAGGTCTATCACAAATTCCAGCATATTATTAGTATTTTACATTAGCAGACTTATGCCACTTTCTGGAAGTCTTCATCAGAGATTTGGGTTTGTTTCTTTAATTCTGATGAACTCAATCCAAAGGATATATAAGGCAGTATTTTAAAGTTAACATAAACATTTCACACAGCATTATATGATCCTGCTTTATTGCTGTGCTGTGAACCCTCTGAAATTCGTTAGTATTTAACAGGTCATAGAATCTGAATACCAAGCTGCTTAATTATTTTCCTTCTTCAGCTACTCAGCAAAATACCAAATATCTACAACAGCATAGCAGTACTCTGCAAAGGCATTTTAACCACAGACTTCTCTCCCTCACCATCCCAGGACTATAGAACAATTTAATAGCTTTTTTTACCTCATCTTGTTTATATTTTACCACAGCAGAGATATATGAATACATTTCCACAAGTATCAGGGAAATATTTCCACATATGGTTACTGAAACAAAAATATGGCCAAAGTCCTCAGATGGCATGAAATTATATACCTCCATCAAATTCTTTAGATAAAAGAACTTTGTCGATCTCTAGCCCCCAAAAAGAGGCTCAATTTTTTTGTAGAATTGCCCAATCAAACTCATAATGTAGAGTTGCTACTGGTAAGAGATTGTCTTTGGGAAAATGTTGCCTATTGGGAAAACAACAGGATAAAGATGAACTTTAATCTCTTTAGAAATTCTTATAAAACAATTGGAATGTGGTTAATAACTTCTATCATATGCACATCTAAGGTCTGTCCATAAAAATCAAATTTCATTAAAAAACTCCTGCAAGTAAAATACTTTTCAGCTGAACTTCTCTATATGAAAAAGTTTATTATTTTGGTACCTTGATAATCCAGGGACTAACAGCAACAACAACAGACAATCTCTTTACAGGCAGGTGCTCCAAGATCATCTCCAACAGAGCTCAGACAATCACATCGGGCCTGACATGATTCAGTTTTTGGGAACTTTTTTATTTTATTTCAGAAATTATGTCACATTGAAAAGTGCTTTAAAATACAGATGTTAAAATGCTTGTCAACATGACATGATTCTGAAATTCCAGAAATAAGACTCACAAAGTTTTAGACAAAGTGGATTAACGGAAATTAAAAGGTGGAACCAACTCTTCAGCACAAGATAGGAGGAAACTTTCTTTTTTTCCTGGTCTTCCAACAAGACAAAGCATTGCCATATGGAAACTCTTATCAGCAGGGCCAACAGGGACACAAAGCACAAAGGTGACCATGTGTTTGGGCCATATGAAGAATGAGTAATTTGTACTTCTGTCTGCTGAGAACGACAGATACTACAGTTCTTATTCATACCATAATAGCTCTATTCAGAAAAGAAACTAATCATACCATAAACTCAGAACAAGAGATACTTTTGTTTTAAAGAGCTTGCAATCTACCTCAAGACAAGTGAAACAAAAGGAGGTCAACTGAAAAAACAGAAGGCACAGAGCACAGAGGGATGAGTATTATGTGAAAACTCCACACACATCAGTTTACAGATGCTAGCTATATGAACCATGGCTGTGATTTATCTGCCACAGACAAAGAGACAATAGGTAGCAGACTGAAAGAATGGAGGATGAAATAATGAGGGGTTTTGTTTCAATCAAGTTAGGGACAGTCATTGCAACATCAAAGGAAAAAAGAAATAGGAGGAAAAAAGGGAAAAAATTCTGTGGGGCACTACTGATAAACCAGAGAACAACCCTTCTCAGGAACAGGGAGGAAAAGAAGTCACCACAAAATATGAAATTAGTTTAAGAACGAATGTCTGATCAGACCAAAGCCAGAAAAGAAGAAGTTTAACTAGATCCTCAAGAATACTACAAAAATGGTTTTGTAAACATATCTTTTTGCATTAGTGACATCTATTAATGTCATTTGCCTTTTTTTTTGTAATATCTCTGCAAAATCTTAATTTACTGAATGCAAGTGGCCTAAGCAGTAGTGCAAATAGTCATGGACATATATGCATACATCCACACACATATATATGCATTTTTGAAACAAAAAAAAAATTGCAGAAATGTTACAAAAACACCATCTGCTTTGTGGAATCAACCAAGTAGATCATGGACTGCAATTTCAAATATATTCACTATGAAAAGTGGGCAAATTAATTCTCTATATCTACGAACAAATCTGTCCGTGAATACATGAAAAGCTGCAAAAGAGGACACACTTACTAAATAGATTGTTCTTTATAATCACTTCACCTGAAACTAGTTCAGAAATATAATGCACAAAATACTAGACCATATTATTTAGTAAAAATTTCAATAAAAAGTGTCTTAGTTTTAAAATAATTTAAATGCTAGCAACAAAGGAATATTGCAGAAAATTGCATAATGCTGATACTACTGATGGGAACATCTGTACAGATATAGGTAGAATACATCTGTCTATATCTGAGCTAGGTGCCCTCGGACCTTTCTGTAGGAAATGGAGAGGAATAGACATCTGTATTAGGCAATTCATCTCATACTGAGGTAGACATTCTGAAAAGGTCAAATGAATTCTGCTCTCCAGATGCCTATTTATCTCCTTTACCACCATACAGCGTGTACTACAAAATACTAAAAACATAACTTTGAATAGCACCTTCAGTGTAGATATCTACCCTGAGAACATCTGAAGCTGATAAGAAGACTCCCATCCCTGGTTTCTTACCTGCATTTATGTCCATTTTTTTTTCCTAAAATCAGTATGGCTGCATACATTTCTATATGATGGAGATGAATAATGAGACAGAACATCTGAAATAATTTTAAAGCATAATTCTATAATACTAATTAAAGTCATCTGGGACTTCTCCAACCAAAAGAAATACATATTCTGAGATGTTCTCCTGTGTAAGTAAAACAGAAATGGGTCTTCTTTCTCCTCCAATAAAGTCTTTTCTAATTAATTGGGAACATTTGGCTGTAACCTTTAATTGCAACCATAAGACTGAAAGAAAATGTCTTCCACAAAATGGACTTTCACTGAATCTATTTTCACTGCCCCTCTTATACACATTAAGGACCCAGTTTCACATGCACAAATCAATTTAATTCCAGAACTGGAAGTGCTCACACATCTAACACTACTTACCGACAAGAGTCTTTTCAGGACAGGGACCTAAGTTACTCAGGTAATCTAATGGACACTAGTTAGTTTCAAACTAATGATGAATAAATATTTGCATATTATTTTCAGACATTTCAAAGTGCTGGAAAGTAATGAAAATCATAATCTGACCCAGCTGGTTGCCATAATATTCCTTATGACAGCTAAAGACAGTTAAAACATACAGTTTACTGTCAAAAATGTGAACTGCTCTCTGCCACATCCTGGCATCTTCGTAGAGAGGAGACAAAGGAGGGGCATAAAAATGAACTTTCTTTATCATTCTTTCTACCCACTTCAGAACTAAAAATGATATAGAAAAGACAGAAAAAAAAGTTGACTAGGAAACCAAACAACAACCCCCCCCCCCATATTAGTCATTAAAATAGTATGACAATGTGAGATACTTTACACAAATATGTCAAAATCCTGCTGCAAATATTTAGGTATCTACACAGATAAGAAATACATAAGAGAATGAGAATGCGGATATTTATTTTCAGAATAAATTTTTTTGGTTAGTTTAATCTGACAGAAGTTATGGTTGCATCAGGGTCTAAAGAGCAAGGGTTTAAATGAGTGTACACTGCCACTACTGAACAAATAAGTGGAAATTTTAACAAAAAATTTAAAATATGGGTCCAGGGTTTCTGAAGTCTACACTGAGTTTTCAAATAACTTTTCTTCAGCAGCTGAGTACCACTAACTTAAATGGGAGCGTCTAAAGAAGAACTTTTGAAAAGACTGTGTAAAAAATCAGCATATGGAGGAAAGCTGGATATCTATATTGTATCTTATTATCTTTACATTATAGTTTTTCACAGGATTTTATATTTCATTATATAATGCAATGCAGATCACTATACTTACATCTGAATAAATTCGTGTTCCAATTACACGAGCATAGTGTGGATTTGCTTGCATACAGTTGCGAGGACAATACACCCTGAAATGTAAAAAATAAACAACACACTGTTAGGAAGAATATCAGAGTATTACTATATCATATTCAACATCAGCATTACTGAATACAAATAAATTTGATGATACATACATATTGGTACTTACTGACACTAAAAGGCTGTCAGTTTTTGAGGCTTTGACAATATGAGTGAAAGTATTGTGAAAGCTGTGGTTCACAAGAAAGTGCTTGAAAACATACTTCAACAGGTCTGGTCTTCTTCCCTTTGGATAAGCAGATAGTGTTCTTGCTCAGCATATGGGAGGCCAGTAGCAAAGCCAGTGAGAAGACAGACAGTTCACTCATATTATTATCTGTTTCTACAGCATCCTATACAAACTGTACAGATGAATACCTTCTCAGGAGAGGCATACCTGAACAAGGAACTGCTATGATGCTGATGACCTAGTGATACAAACCAATTTAGCAGCTTATAATGAGGGTGAGCACTTGGCATTTGTGGCTAAAATTAAAACCTTTGGAAGGCAATGAGATTCCTAGCTGATTCTAGAGATCAGAAAGCCACTGAAACAAAGACTGTCTTTATTCAATTCCATTTTATTGACCCTTGAGAAAACCTCTCTCTGTGATTCGGGCTTGCTATAGCTCCAAAATGCACAGGAAAACCATGTGGGAAGCTAATGACAGTATAGAAGGTGTCCAACATCTTGTTTGGTAATTGCCATATGCTACAAGGAAGAAGTGCCAGTCAGCTCCAGGTCTACTCTGAGCTGTTTTATTTATAAAATGGGTCATGCCCTAATGCCTTTGGAGCTGCCCTACAAGGGGCAGCCCTGGGCAAGCACTCTTCTCCAGGATGCTATCCATCCTCTAATGAATATTTGTCATGTCACATACCTTGGGCATGCTACAGTCTTACCAGATGGGTAATTAAAATAGGATGATGCACTAGGAATTATTTTTGTCTGAAGGAAGCAAGATGTCGAAGAGGCCTTTTGAAGAACAGCTGATTTATGATGAGGGCATGAAAGGAAAAAATTAGGTTGTGCAGTCAATGCCATAGTTGATTACTGCTTGTAACTCCTGAGACTACATTTTCAGAATTAAGTTAATAGCATGCACAGAATCTTGAATGAACTACTACTGTTGTGAAGTTCCTTAAGTTGATGCATCAGAATTATTCAGTTATTTTTAACCTTATTTTTATTTTTAAATTTTCTTAAAGACAGACCCTATTTTTCTCTTAATTAAGCTAGTTTCAATTTTTAATAATGAAGAAAAAAAGAAAAACAGGGAAGTATGAGATTGTACACATCCATTCCTGCATTCCACTCCTTTGCTTACTTCTCCACATCTCCCAGCTAGAAAGCCAGGACTTGTAGCCAGACACCAAACAAGTCCACAGACCCAAGTGCTACATGCAGGGATGTTTTCCTAGCAGTTCTGGCTTTGTACTTGCTTCCTGTATTGGCTGTAGGATTGCTATGAAAGTAATCCTGTGGATATCTCCAGCTTAGCTTGCGGTAAATCATGCTACAGTGTATTTACCTTTGACTCATCTATGGTTTTAAGAACTGTTACCGATTTCCTTCCTCAAAATATTGCGGCACAGGCTCCTTTCGAAGAGTTAAAACACAGGCTTCAAAGAAATGGCGCATATATTTAAAGCTGTTAACGGACCTGCAGACTACACCTTATCTTAACAATACATATCTCTCCTTTTTTTTTTTTTTCAAACATATTTGCTCACTCTATCCTCCAAAACTTCCAAACAACTTGATGACTTTTATGATAAATAACTGTGTCATATCTTTTTATTGTATTTGTTTTACTGGCAAATAAACTGAAATAATGTGTATTTTGCCCAAGGTGCACAGTTTTAATAGTGGACAATGAAAAGAAAAATGCATTTTAATATGCACTCTTTGATCTAATGAACAACGATTTCACTAAGATTTGCCAAGGGATTAAAGAGAGATCTTCATGGACAAAAGAAAGTGAGATTCTCCTAATGAAAAAGCCCATTAGACCATCTTTACCTACCTTAGATCAAAGACTAAAATACTGCTAAAATGTTTCAAGCTCCACTTTTACAACTACTGTTGTCACCTTTATCAATGACAACTATAGATAATTAGTAACTGACAGAAAATATGGCAGCATTTTAAATTAATAAGGCTCCAAGAATTGTACCTTGGGCAGTGTGAGGCCGGTTTTTGAAATGGGCACAATTGTTCCACTGTTGTTTCACAGGTGATAGCTTGAACTGAAGAAAGTAAGACAGAAATTAATAAAGGTGTGCTGTTTATAAAAAACATAAGTCAAAGTAGTACCGAGTTTATAAGAAATAAATGCTAACCTGTTACTTTAGAGACAGTGAAGGAGTTAGCAGACTGGTATTTTCTGAAAAAGAAATAATAGAAATAATCAGCAAATAACATTTCTCGATTATTTCTTCTAGCTTGGAGAACTACTATTAAAGAATTTAGAAAAAAGCTCAAGACATTTTCCCCAATCAATTTTTACTCACTGCACCCCCCCCTCCCCAGTTGTGAATCTATTTATTGCAATGACACATTTACTATGTACTCCTAGTGAATCTGTTTAAAAACCAGGAATGCATGTTAAACTCTTTCAGTAATTTAATTTGCTAAAATAATAAGTGCACTAGGAACAAATTATGCAATCTATTTGTCCTTCAAAATGTAGCAACCAAAATCTGTGTCTGAGAATTGATCAGAAGCATCCATCTACCAGAAGAGATAATTCGTTTCCCCTGAAAGGTTCATTCCTGTAGGAAAAGAGTTTCTCCTGGAAGCCTTTTTGAAAAATTTCATTACATTTTGCTTTTGGATCTTGTGTCTGTGTCAAATTATCACCAGCACAACTATAAACCCAGTATAACATGTAACATTCTGATTTACTCAGTAATCATAGAATCATAGAATGTCCTGGGTTGAAAAGGACCTTAAAGATCATCTAGTTTCAACCCCCCTGCCGTGGGCAGGGTTGCCAGCCACTAGAACAGGCTGCCCAGGGCCCCATCCAGCCTGGCCTTGCATGTCTCTAAGGATGGGGCATCCACAGCTTCTGTGGGCAGCCTGTTCCAGTGTCTCACCACCCTCTGCGTGAAAAATTTCCGCCTAATACCAAACCTAAATTATGTGATACTCAGATGTATCTCTTCCCTGTTGTTATATAAAGTCAGGTATATACAGTCTGTTGTTACATTCCAATCGATAAACACTTCTATTTTACTCCTCTTCATCCTCTATTTTACTCCTCCTTTACTCCTCTTTTAACTCATTGGATATGCCTCTGATTCTAATATTTTTAATTTGTAACAAAGAACTTGATGATGCTTTTGGCACCCATAAAGTTAGTTATTATTAAAAAAAGCCAAACAAAACCCAAAAGAAAACACAAGGAAATTATTCCCTATTCACCTTTATAGCAAATTACTCCTGTGTGCTCCATAGCACTGCAATTTGTATTCAGAAACTGTTTGCTTACATTAGTTTATTTAGTTGTATAGCCCATCAGTTTCAGATTTGCTCATTTATTGGATTCCAATTTGGTTTCACAGAGTTAGCTCATACCTCTGTTGCCCTAGCATCATCAAACACTGATGTGGGAATAGTTCACTGTATTCTGTTGTTGATTAGCTTCCAGAGATATTGTTAAAACTGGTATTCTATACTACGAAAATGCAACAGTTGGAAAAGCATCTGTATTAGCAATTCTGATCATAAATCAAAGGAGCTGAAGATCAGGAAATTTGTTGTATGTTGTGCTGACATTACCTTTTCTGCCTTTATGTTTTGCAATATGCACTAGAGGTGAGAACCACTTCATTTCACGTATTCATTGAATAGATATGCAGTTTATGCAAGGCTCCATCTAGACACACTGGCGAGAATAGGTAGCCGCAAGGTAGCCCTGGCCTTATTGATGGGCTTTAAAAAGGTTGAAACCTTGGTACATCATCTTTATTTATGCCAAAGACTTTGATCTATAGACTGACATGTTAAGCTGATGTTTGATCACAGTATTTTGTAAATTCACTCTAAAAGGTGATGTCCTAAATACTATAGGATATTAATGAAGAATTATGTCACCTGTGCACACACATAGCAGCAGGAGTTTCCTGAAATATACTTGTAGATAGGAAGGTATAGATTTGGTCCTTTAACAGTCTTTTATCTACAAGATATCTAAATTGTTTTTTACAACATCTGAATCAGAAAACCAAAACCAAAATGGCCATGATTGTTCAGCAACGATATGATTATCCATGCCCATAGCAAACAAAACCAAGTGTTGGTACTTCCTTCTGAGTTATGATTCTCAGAGGATAGGTGCTAAATACACTCTGTAGACTGGACACTCATACAGTTTTGTCTCAGATGGAATAGAGACACAGAGATTTCAAGTGATGGGAAATTAATTCCTTCTTGTTGAAAGATTTTCTACGGCTTAATTACTCCTACATTTGTAAGAATGGCTGGCTCCTAATACGTTAGTACTGATAGAATCAATCTTGACTTCTCACTTTGTCTCAAAGCATTTAAAAAGAGGTATTTGTCTGTATCTTCATTTTTAGGAGGGTAACTGAAACCACAGTCGGACAATTGGATGACCCGAAGAAACAGATTGATATCAATGCCTTAAGTCCTACCTAGGTAGCCCAAATTATAGGCCACTGAATTTAGTCTATGTGGTCAGTGTTTTTCTCTATCCTGGATTAGGCAAAACTTGAAAAGAGAAATTATAACAGGTGCCATAGCATGTGGCATTGTTTGCACAGCACAAAGTGAGAGCACAGCCTCTAATGACTGCTTATCTCCTTACTCTCAGGTTCACACCTGAGACAAATATATTGCTAAGCAAAATTATATTCTCTTTCAGTTTAATATTGCTCATACGTTAACTGTCAGACACATGCTACTATTACACAAATTATTGACAGAAATAAGGACAGCAATGTACAGGTCTGTAGACTACATTAAGATATATATACAGTGAATATAGTGAAGTGTAATTAAAAAATACTAATAATATCTTAGATTCACACATACTAATATTGATGTTGTCCTATTATTGAATAATTACATATGGAAACAAACAAGTATCTTCTAATTTTACGCACCGTTTTTCTGGTTTTAATTTTAGTGTGTCAACAAGTATTTGGATCTGTTTTCACATACAACAAATGAAGCTTCCACAGTATGTGATATTACTCTGTCACTGGTAAATGCAGAAATTGTGCAAAACATTGGCACAAAATCTATGTAAATTGTGGAATTGTGATGAAGCTATCAAACATAAAGGAAGAGGTGTTTTTCTACTTGATTCATATTGTTCATGTGCACAGTACAAGAGGGTCACATCTAAACACAAACTTGTAAGATTATTGCCTTGTTAGCGGTCACAGATTACTGTGTTCATGAGCCAACCCTGGAAATACTACCAGCTTTGTCCAAAACATGTAAAATAGTCCACTTCAGTTCCAGTATGTACTAGTTTTCTACAATAAATACATACACTTACAAATGAATTAATTGAATACTCCAAGCATTGAGATTACTTAACCACAAATACTAGTTTACTTCCCAAGTGATTTTGCAATTTATTTCACCTTCTTTTGCATCATTTTTGTGTCACTTTCCTGTTCACCATTAAACACTGGCTAAGGTTTCAGAATGGACACAATGCCTGTATATCCACATGCCTTTTTATAGAATTTTTATATTCTTTATGATAAAAAGATGAACAAAATGTTATTATAGTGATATATTTTTATGAATTAAAAACAAACAGGTGAAAAATTTTCCATACATTTGAAGAAAACTTACCCAATTGACTGAACGCTATTTCTATAAGACTTGATAAAGTAATTTTTCCTTCCTTGCCTAGTGACATCAACCCAACCACCTTCATTGTCTAGGATGCCATAATGTATGGCAGCTTTACAAATACTGGATTGCTGAAAACAGAGCAGAAAAAGGAGTTCTGTGTCAGTCAAAGCCACTATTTTACATTGTAATTTAATATGAAAAAAAAAATCAGGTTTTAATTACAATTGTGTCATTAAAAACTTAGCCTATTAAGGTCGATGTGGACTCCGTAGGTTTTTATTTCACATGAAGAAAACACCACTTTGCCTCACTCATCTATACTCATTTACAGTATACTTGTTCACAGTAGCTGTTATTTCCTACACTGTTTTTCAGTTCTACAGAGTAAATGATATATTTTCAGCTAGCACTAAGCTTACACCAGTAAGTCTGTCTTACTGAAACAATTTAGATGAGTGTACCCACAAATTGTTGTATTTCTCCTTAAGTAACACCTTCACCTATTTACATGTAAATATGTGGACACAACAATCCTACTTTTGTGCATGTGTAAGAACATTCGGACAGTACATGCAGAATACCAGATACAAACTTAGATCGTCTGGTGTTATCTTAAACCTTTGGTGTAGGCTTTTGCTTCTGGTGCATATTGACCTCTTCAGAGTCTACTCTTTAATATGATTTTAACTAGTATTCCAACAGAAAAGACATTTCATTAAACATTCTACTGGTACAAAATCCAGTCTAAAAATATTTACCATTTCATAATGTACACTTCCAATAACTTTGGCTTTGCTATCCAAACAGCCAGCAGGACATTCATACCTAAGAAAATAAAATACAACTTGGTCTTAAATCCTGGAATTATAAAAAGGGAAAATATATCAGCTCACATACAAATATAGCCTTTTAGAATAACCTCAGAATGACAACTGTAAAATTTACCATACCTATTGCAAGTTGTTCCTTTGCACTGATCTCTTAGCCTTACTTCACATGAAACAATCTGAGCTAAAACAAGCAAAAAACAATTTCACTGCAATGAATTTGATACTATATAATTAAAATTTGTTGACCACTTGCAAATCAGGTAAATTCCTTACACATTTGCTGTGTGCTTATTACTTCATTTTTCTCACTGTCATCAGTGCCCGTGGAGCCTGAAGGTGAATGAGTTCTTGGCCAGCTTTGTGCCATCGCATCCTGGGCTTTGGATCGCTGACGTTCAATCTCATTGGTTTCCTCTTCTGGTTCGTGGGGAGAATAAGGCCTTTCTGAATCCTCTGTTTCAGAAAATGGACAAAAAAAAATAAATCTCAGGCAATAAAAATCAGTGTTTCTGGAATCCCCTACTGTGTTTTGGTAACACGGCTTTGTTCTCATGAAATGGTGGATGAACACAAGCAAGAAAGCAGGGCAAACTTTCCACTGCTTCATAAAACGAAGACCTCAAGATTAATAATACATCTCAAGTATGTTTCTGATGCTGACAAAAAGTATGTTTTTTCTAGCACAGGTAGCACAACTAGGTATGAAAATGCTCTTAACAGTCCTGTTTTAGTATCTTCTTTATGCCATCAGAAAACAAGTATAATAAAGGTGATATTTTTATTATACTTTGGAAGAGTTTTACCAAGTTCATAGTTAACTTGTAATTAAAGAAGCTGATTTAATAAAAACGTACACCTGAAAACGAGGCACTTTTGTTCATACATAATGAAAACAACTTTGAAATACTCATCACTGAATTTACATTTCTTAAGCTAAAATCATAAGGAAGGTATTTTGGCACGCTTGTGCAGCTTTTATGGTCCATATGAACTTTCAAAAGTTATTACCAAAAATTGCTAAATAATTTGTACACAGAGTAAAACAAGAAAAAGTAGCAGCTTCATAATATGCTGTGTTTCAATGCTATAAAATATGAATAGCATTACGAAAATTGTTAAGACTTTAATAATCATCCTAGCTGACATTTTGTTTATTTACTAATGCCTTCTAGTCTTGTTCCTGATTTTTCCTTATAGTAACGCACAGGGCTATGTCACTGAGATAACATGTTTCCCTGAAAACAAATGACTGCACAGGCTTCCACTATAATTACAGAAAGGGATACAAATAGCACACAGGGACAGTCTACATCTCTGTGTACCCAAAGCCCTCAATCAGCACTTAAATCAGCAGGAGTTCAGTACACTCCACTCCCTCTGGTGAGGCTCAGCGTCACGTATCATAAATTCATCATAGTAAGGTAGGCCCCTACCAGATCTTTGGCCCATGCATAATATATTCTATTCCACTACGTTAAAGCATAATGAGAAAAGAAAGCAAAAGAAGGGTTACATTTCTCTGCTCTCTGTTGAAATAGCACATACCTCTGTAACAAAGATTTTCTCTGCAACCTCCTCCAAAACTAGGGGGACACGCAGAGCAAGGGCGGCCAGGTTTATAAGGAGCATGACCCCACCAGTTACCCCTTTACACCAAAAAAGAAAAAAAAAAAACATGCCTTAATAAATGAACATATTAACATTAAACAGCATTTAATATGTGGACAAATAAATTATGAAAACCATCAAACACTTAGACTGCAACATTGTTTTGATATACCAAATGAATGGGAAGGAATTGAAAAGTCCATGAAAAAAAAGTAAGTACTGCCGTAAACTGCTGTAAGATCTTTTTAGATTGGCATAACACTGTAAGACTAAATTCCTCAATTGCATGACAACAGGCTCCATTCTCCCAAATGGAACATCCTATAGAATTTGATCTTAACCATGGGCTTCATGTTACACAGTCTTTAAAGTCACATTTATTTTTCAGACAAATATCACACTACAACAAAGATCTCTGATAGTGTATGCTAAAACACAGGCCAGAAAACTGAAGCTCTAGAAAATCACAAGAGTATTTGAGCAGCCAAAGGCTGCCTTGGGAACAATGCTCTGCTTTGTAACAGTACAAAAACCACAAAACTCAGACTGATTCCCTTTCAGATTATTCCCTGGATTATTATAAAGTATTTTACCTCTTCAAGATATCTTTGGGTGTCAGCCTACTTACTTAGGAGAATAATTGCATACAAGATAGACAGCTTTTGGCCAAATCTGTCCCCAGATGTTCATGTTATGACACAAATTAATTGCACAGCCAATTCTGCTACTTGTAGCCCAAACAACCTATGGAAAAGGAAAGAGAAAGACATGTGAAAACCAAAGCTGATTAACATAAAATCAAAAGTATCTCCAAACTTCAATGTATAAAACTCAAATCACAGAAGTGATGTTATCCCCTTCTCTTATAAATGGCTTGAAGTGACTTAACTAAAACTGACAAAAGGCCATTTGATTATATCTTCATTAGAAAGAAAAGCTTTACCTTGATACAAAAGATATGGCTCTCATTTTATATAAATGGTCTAAGCACGTATTTGAAACTGTAGCAAAATGTTTACAAAACATGGTCTGAAGAACTGATTCTTGGAATTACAATTAATAGATAATTGTGAGTTAGAAATTAGGTGCCTGTGCCATGGTGTTCTCAGCACAATCTAAGGCCTCAGAGTGGTTTAGATTGGTTCGACTGAGAGAAGAGACATCTATCAGCAGTGAAAGGAGGTAACATAAATGATAAAAATATTCACAAAAAAAACCTCATACACCGAAAGGTTCAAGTCATGGGTTTTAAATGAATATGCTTTCACGGCATTGCAGTCTTAGGGTGGCTGTGCTCCTTTATTCACCTGTTGAAACAATCTCCATTGCAGATCTCAAAATAATCTGAATGCCAAAGGCTGGAACATTCAAATTAGACAAATATGACAGTTGCTAAGTTCATATTAATTCAAGACAAGCCAACTGTGTCATTCCAGCAGGATTTAGGAGTTGAAAGAGATAGGTACCATGAAGAATTAGTACCACAAAGAACTATATATATGTACTGTAGATCTCGCATGCAATGGATAAGTGTAATTATAGGTATTTTTATGGAAATGGTAAATAACAATATGGAGGTAACTCTGTCTTAAAATTAGATACAATTTAAATTGTGCTAGCAAGCAAACAGAAAATAAATGTTTTAAAATTAATCATTTTGAAGTTTTCTAATACTATATTAAACACTATACATGGATTTTAGTATAATCTGAGGATTGCATATTTCTCACTCACTGAAAACAACTGGTTCCCCTCTGGAAAAATACACAGATTTCAGAAGTAGCAAATAAACTAGTTCTTACACAATTTGAAAATCTGCTGAAGTTAAAGCAACATGTTAAAAACTGTTGTTTGATGTGAGGAATTCACCTAAGAATTTTTTTTTAAATGTGCTGTGTCTTCATATTACAGAAAGGACTACCAGCATGCCAGCACAGAGACCAGATTATGCGAAGTGCACTGAGTAGTAACACTCAGTACTACAGTACTAAAGTACTACTCAGTACTAGGGAAATCTAAAGATTGGTATGACAACTCTATGTCACCATAACCAATGCTTGTAACTACGGAGTTTAATAACAACAAGCCCCTTTTGTGCTTTAGTGTTGTGGTATATACTGCAAGATCAATATGTCCTATGTGTCATACAGCAATCCAACTAGAAGCCTTGACTGCTCCTTTCCATAGCTGACAAAAACCAAACCCAACTACATACCTGTGTGTAATGTGTACAAACAGGACCAGAGCATTTGTAAGGACAATATGGGTTGCATTCATGAGGATAGGGATACGTGAAATCTCTCACTTCATCATACCATGCTTGGACATGAAATGTTGGGGGTCTGTACCTATGAAAGACAGTAGCAGTCTGTTATTCAAAAGTTGTAGTTTCTATCATTCTACCTTTAAGCAAATTTTGTTAGATTTTTAAAAAACCCACATACAGTATAAAAGAGTCTCTTAAAATACCTTCCCCAGTGCGCCCCCAAATTCTGCCCAATTGATGGAAGAAGGCTTGCAGGCCCATGCTCCCATAGACAGGTTTCAGCCCATGACTCTGCAGATCTCTCCAGTTCTGTGTCCCATGTCTGAAATTTGAAAAAAAAAAGAAAGGAACACCTTCTTAGAAATACATGTTGGCTACCTCTTAATTTTGTTAAAAAAAGAAGAAAAAAAAAATAAGATTGTCCATTTTTAAGGCTTCTGTTAACAAGGTGGAAGACTGAAAAAAAAATGCAGGACCTGACAATTGTATGCCTCATTTGTGTTACATAAGAAAAAACAAAATGTTTTCACCAAGAGAAAAAAAAAGTTTTAATCCCCACACAGCATACTCTTTAGAAGCACGTGCAGCCATGCTGCAGTGAATAAAAGACAAATATGAAACTGAAAGGCTTAGTTCAACTTTCCAATCTAAATTAAGTGCATTTTCTGTCTTGTGAGATTTCTTTTTAGTAGTAGGCACTTTTCTTAGCCAAAAGGGTATTATCCAACATCCTTTCAACATAAGGCTTTATTTCCTCTAAACCAATAGTTTATTTGAAATGAAAGTGCTTTTCGGTCCCTTTTCTATAATCAGCTTTTGTTGAAATAATACACAGCACAAACACAAAACATGAAAACTAGAGTAAGGTTGTCATTCATTGGTTTTATGACTAGGTTGTCAAAAAAGGAGGCATTCATGTTAGGAAGAGGCATATTTAGGACAAGTTAAAGAAAAATATTATGAATTTTTGTTTATCAAAACAGTTTATCCTTATTTTTTATTCTTTGAGGTGTATACAAGAACAGGTTAGTAGCTGAAAAGCAATTGCAGATTCATTTTTTTCAAAAGCACACTAAAACGTAGTCTTCCTAAGAGAAATTATACCGTACTGTTTTTACTGCATTAAGCTGGAGTACGATCAAAGTGTTCCCTCTTGTGCAAAGTATCCATACCGCTGCTTGACTTTTCAAATCGCCTGCTAGTTGCAGAAGTAGTTTCCACATACCTGACTCTCTGATACCAATGCTCAAGCTAGGAAACTGAAATATGAACAGGAAGGAAGTACATGTCTTGATAGAAACTCAATTATTTCATCATAAATTCAGACTAAGTTTCTTACAGTGAGACTGAGTTATCTAAAGAACAGTAATTCAGTATTTCCAAACCCAAATTCCCATGCAGACACTGGAGATCACGTCTACAATTTTTTGGCACAGTTTAAAGGTAAAAAACTCTTTAACCCAGCCAAAGAATACAGAAATATAACAGACAAATTCCATCTACTCCTAGTGATCCATTCCTCCTTAAAGCAGTGAAGAAAAAGGATAAAGGCAGGAAAGCAAATGTATACGGAAAGGTTTCCAAAAACAGATAAAAATGTCCATTCAGAGCAAGTTACACAATGAAGAAGTTCAAACAAATATAGAACTAGTTAGTGAATCTTTAAAACGCCAAGGTGCTTGAGCTTTTAAAAAAAAGCCAGAACAAAAAAGGATTAGTATGAAGAATCACAGCAACATAGGTATCAGAAGTAGGCACTTTTCACGCTTTAACCACAATGTCATTGGTGATACTAAAATCTGGCTACTGACATATGTACTGAGCTGACATAGTTCTGATGCTTTAAACTTAATTCCACAACATCCATCATCATCAGTTGGTATTACAGATTTAAAATTAGGACACTTTTAAAACAATTTAACCCTTTGAAACTACTGGTACAGAAAAAGTTCAAAAGTATTCTCTGCATAACTGTAGGCAAGGATCCTTTTGCTTGATGAAGGATGAATAAACCCTGCAAACACAAATACTTTAAAAAGCCCCTAGAAGTTGTTTCTTTTCATAAAAAGGGTGTCTGTGGTCTTCTGAAATGTAGATGTGTGCAACACCTGATTCTTCATCCACTAGTTCCCTCATTCATGCTTTGATAGGACCAGGTTTCAATGAATTTGCACTATCAGATTTCTTTGGAAAATAGAGGGTACTGATGGGAGCATAAGGAGATGGAAGTGCAGCTAGGCAGCTGATTCCCAGGTCTGACAAGCATTTTGACCAACACTTGTTTGATACTATGTGCAAAGTAATTCAACATGTTTATCAAGAAAAAACTATTGCTCACATTGTTGGAAAACTACAGGTGGCCTTCTTTTTGGATAAGGGATCATCATCAGTGTTGGCCTTCTGCATTAATATAGAGAGACAGGTAGACACTGAACATATCACTAACTGCTCAGCAACACAAACCTACTTTAAGCTATTCCTTTTGTTTCACAGAACTCTGTTAGAGTAGCAGCAAATGTAAAAGGAGTTGCTAGCGTTTCCAAATAGTTCTTGCATTTCTTACTTCAAGAGAAGTTCACTCGGTGATGTTAATTATAAAGACCGAAAGATGTTACCTAGCAATGGGAAGGCACAGAGCTACTGCAGAGAAGGGGATAAACTAAACAGGTTTTTTTTGCCCTCTCGTGCATCAGTATTTATGATGTCAAAGTGGTTGCAGCTACCAAGTTATGTACCTCTCTTTCCCACCCTCTCATGTAGGCTCAAGTTCACATCTACACTCAGCTTGAGAAATGCATGTTGTACTTTTCTGCTTTTCGACATAACAGGGCAAGAAGGTGCAAACTGATACATATTCAAGTGTAAGAAAATGGTATATTCTGTACAATTTTATGCTCCACAATCTCTTCAGTGCCATAGTTTTTTCTATGATACTATTGATTAGATGACAAATACAGCTTTCTGCCTCATAAAGTGCATTTTCCCACAGTAAAATTTTCAAGAGGGCCTTTGGGTCAGTGCTTTCTAACCTTCTGCATGCATAAACAATTGTGCACCAAAACTACAGGACATAATGAGTGATCACCCTTTGAAACGTCAAATTTTAGTCTGTGAAAACTTGATCCTATTGTCTTACCTCTTTCTACATTTTACTTTGGTACTGAATCCTTCCTAATTTCAGCTTTCACAGACAACTATTTGTATCTAACAAATGAACTTCTTTACAACTGCAGTCCTGCAGACTTTGACTTTATCTTACAAGTCATGTAGATAGCTTTTACAAGTCATGTACCAGTTCTACAAGTTTGTGGACCTGAGCTTAAGTAGAAAAACATTAATCTCTTACATTCCAGTCTGTATCTGATGTTCTTTTAATTTTTTGTTTTATTTTTGTCCACATCTACTTTAAGGATGGACTATATAATTTTTTAAAAATGCTATTTTAATGAAGCTACAGGCGATGGTATCACAAATCTACATTTGCTCTGTGAGCATATAGGTATACATGTAATTCACACAACTAATTTGGACAACTGGTACAATAAATTATGCTAATAGCCAAAGGATTTTGGGTACCATTATGCTGACAGCTGGAGTGTTGAGTACACACATATTTCTGAAGACTGCAGCAACAAGTGACTTCAGATGTCTAGGTTCTTATGAAGGCAAATGATGATGTCCCTCCCACCCTTATTATTGCCTACAGTTCTAGTTCCAAATGATGATCAGATTCATTAATCTAGACCTTCTTCTGTAGAAACAAATAATATTTTTATTATTCTAATTTTTTTTTTTGTGGCATTGTGTCTGTGCTTTGTCAAATAAAATGAAAAACTGAAATATTTGTCAAAGATTGTTGAGTGGTAGGGTAGTGATGCTGATCGTAACTTTAGAGATGCTCACTCTGCTTCATTTTTTGATATAAAATTTCCAAATTCAGAAGGAGAGGACCAAAATACAACAAAACAGGCATAGGTAATGTTTAGTTTAATGATACTCAAGATCAACACCCTGCAAGGCAGCCTTCGTCAAGCAAGTCCTTATTCAATACTTAACGAAGACTCTACCTCTTAGCTTCTAACCTTGCCAGACATACTCCTTCTAAAACCCCTGGGTCATGCAGTTATGACTAAGTTCTCAAGTAACACTCAGATTCTTAGCCATCCAAGAGAACACGTTTCTCTGTAGAAAGTTACCACCATAAAGACTTCCCTTTTAGTCTTGTATCCTCCCGTGTGACAGAAATTATCTCCATTAACTTTTTAGGTATCATTGCTGTGAAGCAAGTTCCTCCCATGGTATAATTCATCCACACTCAAAACCCCTTAGTTCAAGGTTCAGTGCTGCTCTAGACTTGATTTCATCTACTTGTCTACTACTGACAAGATGGCATGGTCTATAGCTCAGATGCTTCTGCTATCCAAACCAGTATGCCCATACAGCAAAACTTCTATTTCAAAATTATATTCCAGCCACTATGTACAGCAGGAGCACTGGCTAACTCCCAGCACCTGCAAGCATCTATTTTACAGTAAGAGTAGAAAACATTTAGCTCTATATACTTCAGGCTTACAGTCTCAGTAGGGCTGTGTACTTTATTTAGTGTCTTCCTGTTTCAGCTGTGGAAAACAACTTGCATATAATCTGAGTATCATTGTCATTTATGCTATTTCCCCTGAATTTTCTAAGAGTTCACACAGATCTACTACCTAAAACACCCCCTTTCATTAAGCCAGCAGTCAGGAAACGATGCTGAACTTTTAGATTGGGTTGCAATACCACCATGATTGAATTTAAAGTGGATTAAGTTTTTTGTTTTTGTTTTTGTGTTGCTTTTTGGTTTTTTTTTTAATTTAGATCAGGAATGTACTTTTGAAATGGAACTCCTGATCACTCCCCTTAACTGTACACCACAGAGTGCTCCTGAAGTACAAACTGGTCCTTTACAGATAAAATGCCAGGAGTTGTGCTCCAGGAGTGCATCTAACACTTAGCAGTTGTTCATGGGTATTCAGTCCACACGGATTAGACCAAGTTAAAAGAAAAAAAAAAAAAAACCAAACAAACTGAAACGCAGATAGCATGAATGTCAGGTCCTCAGCACCAACTCTTTTGCTCTACAAATCTGCTCCTATTGCACCACAACACTTGCCAACACAGGCATCACCTTCATCAGTATCCATCTTGTTAAAACCTAGTGCACCATCAGACATTCACACAGAAATGGCACTATCAGTGTTTCACAGGTGTTCCACATGTGCTAGACTAGCTGAGGCTAAAACTCAGGTGGCAGATTAAACTGAATGGCAGCAGCAGTTACTG